CATCAACACATGGCCTTGTTATTAATATATTACATTCACTATGTACATGTTCTCAACCACAATTTAGCGATGAAACTCAACGTGTTTTACGTTTATCGCTGGCCGAATTTTCTTTGCCAAAGTTTTATGCTTTATTTGGTTTATCAAAAGTCAAATCTGCAAGTGTTATTGCATTTCGTACTGGTATAATAAGACAACAACAACAGCAACAACATTCAAATCAATTTTTAGCACTTGATAAGCAACAAGGACAAACTTTACCGGAACGTTCAATAACAGCAACAACAGTAACAACAATAAATACATATTCTCCAACAGTTGAACAACCTGAAAGAATGAGTTTAACATCACTTGAAACAATAACGGATACTTTATTAGAATTAATGGAAGCTTGTATGAATGATATACCTGATTGTGAATGGTTAGCACAATGGCAAGAATTAGCTAAACGTTTTGCTTTTCAATTTAATCCTGCTTTACAACCACGAGCTATGTAAGTCTTTTTCTCTTTTCTTATTAATTGTTTTTTCTCTAAAAAACGACTTCTTCTTTGTTAAGTATTGTCTATGGTTGTATATCAAAAACAACAAGTGATGCAGAAATAAAAGCATTGTTACGTATACTTGTCAAAGCTCTCGAATCCTATTCGGATATTGATTTAATTGATTCAATAATAATGTGTTTAACACGTTTATTACCATTATTATCATCGGAATCTAAAATACATAAATTTATGTTTTGGATAGCTCTATCAATTCTTCAATTAGAAGAAACTCAACTATATGCATCAGGACTAGCATTACTTGAACAAAATCTTCATACACTTGATCATATGTTAAATTTATTTGAAAATACAAGTACACATCAACAACAAACTTTAGAGAAAATTATGATGGACGCTCGAGAACCACTAGAATGGCAATTTAAACAGTTAGATGCCAGTATGGGTTTATCATTTAGATCAAATTTTAATTTTGCACTCGTTGGGCATCTTATTAAAGGTATTTAGAAAAACTATTTAAATCACTTTCATTTTTAATGATTAGTTTATATTGTTTTAGTTAGGACACATAAGGATAATTAGAAATCAATTGAACAGAATATTCATCAATAGTAATAGTAAATGTCAATAATTTGAGTTTCAGCTTTTGACAAAAAAAAATTGCTGCAAATAATATTTAATCTACTTGAATAGATCACTTTCGGAAGTTGACTGATTAAATATTTTATTTCGTATGAAATTCACATCTAAAAAAGACGGAACAAAGATGTTTCTTTACGTTCGAAAGTACTCTTACTAAAAAAATAGATAAAAATCGTTTAGATACGACGCATTAAGAAAAGAAGAAGATTGTTTGGAGGAAATCAGAAGAAATGTTTGAACAAATCTTATCATATGCTTTGAATTCGTCGAATATTAATCTACAAACTATGATAGGGTTCAAGCTAATATAGATATCTACATAATTAGATGTCGAATGATTCGGTAAATAAGTATAAAGTTTTGACTAAAATAAATAAATAAATAAGGTGAATCATAAAGTTTTTAACAGAGATTTATTTATTATTGGTTCGACTTTATAAAAACACTTTTTGCCAATTTTAAATAAAATATATTACACATGCTACTATATAGTTATTTTATTCACTTGACTAAGAATGAATTTAGAAGATGGCAATCATTATATTTTAATACAATAATTAATTTTTAATATGCATAAAAAAAGTTAATGCTGGTTGCAATACTAAGTTCCTTCTTAATGGAAAATGAAACTAAACGATTTGATCTTACTCATATCTATTAAAATAATTAAAATAATTGTTCCTATAAATGAATCAATCAAACTATAGTATCAATATACGTCTTAAGCATATAAGAAATAATAAGAAAAACCAATACACTTTTGTTTTGAAAAATTTTCAGGATTTCGGCATCCCGTTCAATCAACTGTTGTTCGGACAACCCGCGTTCTTTCAACTCTTCTTAGTATTGTTGCTAAATCAGAGTCTCAGGATAAATTTAAAGTAACACCAAGATCAATACCATATTTAGCCGCGCTGGTAAGTGTTGTTGAAGAAGTTCGTAGTCGATGTCCAGTTAAACATCGTCCTGTCATGTTTTCATCAACAATAACTTCAAATTCAACAAATATTTTACCATTAACTTTTCCTTCGACATCACCTGTTCATCCACTATCAAATTTACCACAATCGTATTCAACCACATCGATTGCTGATTTTGCAAATTTAGCAGGAAATGCATCATCATCATCATATGTTTTAACAAATCCTTCAACAAATTCGACACTACTTAATGTTCAACAAAGTATTTTTCCTCGTCGGCAAAAATCTTGGGACGCATCATATATTGATAGAACACGAAGATTTGGTGGAATATTTACTATCAGTGGTACCCGATTATTAACTGCTCCGACACATGCACGCCATTGGCATTCATTTGATATAGAACATGCTGTACCTCGTATATTGACAAAGCCAGCTTCAACACTTGTTCAATTGCAACAAGTTAAACAAGTTGTACCGACTATTGCTGTTACACCACAAATTACATCTGAAACACAACAAACATCACAAGTAAAATTTGTATTTAAAAAGAAAAAGAAAAAGAAATAAATAAAAATATTTCATTTTTAGATAAGTAATGAAACCAATCATTTATTAGATCCGAATGTATTAACAGATACATCAACCCAAGCATTACTTTTAACAGTCTTAGCAACACTTGTACGTAATACATCGGATGAAAATGAAATGAGAATTATTTATGAATATTTATCTGAATCAAGTATTGCTTTTCCAAAAGTATTCCCAGTTATACATAATCTATTGGATGCAAAAATAAATTCTGTACTTTCATTATCACATGATGAATCGATACTAGCTTCTGTTCAATCAATAATATACCAAATGATTGCTTGTTCAGCTGGTGATGATGCAAGTCAACAACAACAACTTAGCTATTTACAATCATGTGGTTTTGGTGGTTTATGGCGTTTTGCTGGACCATTTACTGTTTCAAGACAAAATCCAGATAATGTTGAATTATTTGTTAATTGTTTAGAAGCAATGGTTGAAACATGTTTACCCTCACTGGATGAACACGAAGATGGTTCAGAAAGTGGAGTCAATAGTGGAAATGGTTTATCGGGAAATAGTTGTACTAGACATACATCGTTACATCATCATCGTACATTTCGACATCATCATCATTTTTATTCAACTTCTTCAACAGCTGCTTGTCTTAATACTAATCTATCTTCATCACTGTCAAGTATTTCAATGGGTAAGTTTTGTAATTTATTTTATGACTCGAAAAAGTTTTTGCTTTACTCAATATTACTAGTACATAGGCTTGTACTTAGAAATAAGGTTTCTATTAAATAAAGGCACTTTCTAAGTTTATGTTTATGACTAGGAATCTAGTTTTTGGTTCGGAAAGTTCTATTTTCAAGATATCGCTGAACTTTAACAAACATACTTAAAGCACTAGAATTAATCATTTTATGAATAATAAAAAGATAAGCTCGAAAAATTTTTGACAAATCTTCAATAAGTTCAGTTTCATTTACCTCAAAATCTCTCAGCCTATTTTTACAAATAAAATTCAACTATTATTTTGAAATGATCTTACCCATTGAAAAACATATTTTATATTTTTGGCATATAACATAAATTGTTAAAGCCTTGAAGATTCGATAGAAAAATTCTTGATAATTCATATTGATTCTTATAAGGAAAAACAATATAATTTTGAATGAGTTTTATTTCGCTATAAAAGCTATTATTTAAACTTACAATTCACATAAAATGACCAAATCGAATAAACAAAAAAGAAATTTTTTTTTCAGATTCAATTCGTTCGCCAACAGAGCGTGATGGACAATTTTTCGATTTGAATGATCTTAATCGGCCATCGCAATCTCAATCTCAAAATGGCAATTATACTCGGTCTCGTATAACACAAAAACCGAATCTTATATAAAAACTTATCGTTTTCTGTCTTGTATAATCTAGTCATTTCTAATCCATGTTGTACATTATTGCGAAAGCAAAACAAAAAAAAGCATTTTCATAACATTTATTCTCTTGATTGTTTTTTCTTTCTCGATGTAGTCTTGTTAATATTTATTCAAATAATAAATATATTTGAAAATTTGATTATATCAAATTTTAAGTAAAATATTCATTAATGCAGTCAATGATGGGCCATAACGACCTTGAACATTGTTTATTGTTCTGAATTATCGAGCAAGTTCATAACGAGTCATATTAGAACATATCTTGAATTGAATGGTTGTTTATTTTTGTTTACCGATCATGATCGCCATATGAGAACGCGTGAGAAATGCTTAGCGTTAATGACACTACTTAAAAAATCTTTTTTCTTGCGTTCTCTGTGTTTTGTGGTTCATCATATATGTATAAAAAACAAATTATACTTCAAATAGAAAAAAGAATTTAGCTCAAAGTTCTCGTTGTCCTCTAGGTTACTTGTAAAAGTAAAACGTTTTTTTCCTTTGATTGTCCTAAAAGAATTTTTTTATAAATTATTGTAAACATATTTCTTCGTTGTTGTACTTCTATAGTTTTGTATCATAAGAACCATTCTACTTTTTTCTATTTTCTTGGTCTTCTTGTCACATTGACGAACATGAAGCGCGAATGAAAAGAAAAATTTTGCTTTTTATTTGAAGACACAACAACTGAAAATATTTCTTGTTTAAATTTATCTAGTATGGAAAGGAAAAGTATTCTTATAGTAATTTATTGTTTCATGAATTTTTTCCCATCAAAGAAATTCTTTTCATCTGTATTTTATTGTATTGGAATCGTTTTATTTATTTCATTTAGTCATCTAATAGGTAATGGATAAGATGTGAGATTAATTTGAAATTACATTTCTTCTATTTTTAAAATAGTTCATCAAGTATATCAAACATCTTCTACTAATGTAAGAACTTTTTATCAATCATCAAACATATCATTCGCTGCCAAATATCATAACAATTGTGTGGATGATAGTAAATCATCACTTCGAATTCTTTCAAGTGTAATTTTTCGTAGTGGCATAATAAATTATCTTGGTTTTGTTCTTCGATCTCATTCATTATTTTATTGTTCAGTTCCAAAAGTAGCTACACGAACTTTTCTTTCATTTATTACTTATCTTCATATACGTGATGATTTAATTTATTTACTCACAAATAAATCAACGCTGAGTAATTGGAAGTCTCAAAGAAAAGCAAATCTTTTTGATTTTAATAATATCAATCAAATCCTGTCGTCTCCAATGAAGGTAATATTAATACACAGTTTCTCTCATCCTTTTGAAACACTCATAGACATTCTCAGTTTTTATTTACATGTACTTTATTGCAAAATTTTAAACAATAAAAGAAGCAAAAATAAATTCAGAGACATGAGTGAATCACTTACCCTATTTTCTTTCAGTGCTTCTATTTATTTAGACATATTCTTTTAGTGCGAAATTTCACCATATCGTACTGTAGAAGAACTTAAGGCAGTAAATGAATTACAATGAATTTTTCGGAAGTTGTTCTATTCATATAAAACCTCTAATTCGAATAGATAAATTTAATTTTAAACAACGTATTGTATTAAAAAATTACAAAAAATGTTTTACTACACTGAAAACAAATGTAAAAAAAATATTCGATTTTCTTATATTTTATTTTACAATGAAAGACTATATTGAATTAATCTGATGTCTAGTGAAAAATTTTCCTTATACTTAAGTTCAGTACTAATAATAAAAGCACCGACTTCTATTAAATCTACAAAATTTTAGAATGACTCTCAACCATCCGTGCTCAATTCGATCTTAATTCTTAAATCGTTTCTATCATTCCTCATGGATTTCAATAAAAAAAATGCCACATATTTTGATATATGGTCAGTATATCAACGGAAAAGTTTTCCTCTTATTCGTCCTCAGACTTTATCCAATGTATCATTACTTTTTTCATCGAATGTTACTCGTGTTATTTTTGTCCGTCATCCGTTAGAGCGTTTAGCATCAGCTTATATCGATAAAATAGCTTCGCTGACGAATGAACGATTTTTATTGTATGATTCAATACGCCGAGCAATTTGTCGAAGATATTCTTCATTTTATCTAACACATGCTCAACGTAAATTTTATCGTATTCATAGACAAATACCGAAAAAAATCGAAGAACCATGCCATAATGTAGTTCCTAAATTTGAGCATTTTATTGATTATATAATGTCTAATTCAATAATAAACGATGTCCATTGGTATCCTTATTCAAAACTTTGTTATGCATGTTTATTTAAATATAATTTTATTGGGAAATATGAAACAATTGAAGAAGATCTTGGAAGACTATTAACATATCTTGGGTTAGAACCAAAGGATTGGAATAATGTCAACTATTTTAGGACTGGAAAAACAAGAGAACATTATAAATCAATGTATTCAAATTTAAATAATCAATTACTTTGTACCTTGAAATATCTCTACAAGGACGACTTTAAATTATTTGATTATAGACTGGAAGATTATTTAACAGATAAGAAAACGATTGCATGTTCTCCTGTACATAAAAGACAACTAAGAAAATCACTAGAGAGATTGAAGTTATTTTAATTCATTTTTTCTTCATTCTAATGTTTGTTTTGTAAATTTATTCACAATATATGAATATCTGTAATTTTAATCTAGGATAATCGATTCTCGTGTTGATGATTAAGACTGAACGTTTCCAATCAGAACTATTGTAGAAACAATTAACTTGAATATATAGCATTGTTATTAAAAGAAGCCCCTACGGATAAAGGTTAATGAAGAAAAAGTAAAAGACTTCATGACTTCATGAGAATTTATAAAGATTTCCTTAATTTAGATGAATATGAAAAGATTGTAGAAGACTAAAAGTTTACAAAAACTGACAAATCTCTGCTTCTATATTTGACAATAACTCATAACTTAAATTAGAATTGTCATGTATGATGAATATTCGGCTAGGAGAATATCTTTTCTTTTTCATCAAACGTAGAAAACATATTCGGTTTCATTTGGGAAAAAAATCAAAATTTTTCAGGCCTACGGAAGAGTGATGCACATTGTGCATAGACTTCTGCTATAATCATATTAATCATTAATGATGTTTGTTATGTGCTACTAAATATATAATAACAAATTGTAGACGTTCCGCTTAGTTTGATCATGCACATATTAGATGCATTCATTAAATCAAACGATAGAAAAAATAATTCATATTTTTGTGTGCATTGTTCGATTTCTACATTCCTTTGAAAAATCCAACCGGTGCTCATTCATAAGTGCATATTTCATGAATACCAATAAATTATAGAGATGAGAAATATTCGAAAGAAAACTATATATGGAGATTTATGCAAAATCGTTCAACGACAAAATTAAAATTGAAATTAATATTTTCAAACCGATTTCTTTTATAGTTACTTTTTATGGATAGTAGTGTAGTTAAGACCAAGTCTTGCAAAATAAAGTTCAACTTTATTCATGTTTAACTTCGGATGATGTCTGTGTATAATTATGAATGATGAATTAGTATATTTACATATTACATTTTTTTTCGCTCATATTTCTTTGAAATGTTTTGAAAACTATCTCTTGTCCTTAGATTATTATAATTAAAATGAAGTGATCTCAATTAATATATTATCAAAGAAAAACATATGAATAGTATAGATATTGTTTGATCAAGCAAAACAAAAATCACAACAAATACTGATATGATTCTTAGTATATGAGTAATTTCCATGAGCTATACAAAAATCTATTTCAAAATAATATTGATTGATCGAATATTTAAGGTAGTAATTGATTTATAACCTCTTGTATGAACAATCACTGAATAATAAGATTCATTCTTAATTTCATTTATTGAAACTGAAGAAGCTTTAAAAAGAACATAATCATAAATGTCAGACGAGATCATCTTTCTATACTTGATGCATTTGTAATGTATTTTTGAATGAAATTGTATTACAAAACAAAATATGATAATAAAAAAAGTAAGATTCATCTATTTGTCTTACATAACAGTGATGTCAGACAACAATAAATTGCCTGCATCAAAACGAAAACATTTTCTTCTTCACAATACTTGTGTTTTTTATTCCATTATTGCTACATATCGATGTTCAATGTTTGATTTATAAAGAAATTTTGATTGATTGAAAATCATCTAAGTAACAAAAAAAGAATTTACTCAACAATATGATTAAGGAGTCCGACAAAACCCAACCCTTCACTTCCTCGCAGTGTCGGATGGAAACGTCGTTTTACGGCGGCCAAGATGGGCTCTGGTAAGCATCTCAGGGTTAGTCACCCGAGATGACCTTCACAATGACTCCGAAAACAATAATCGAAGAACCCATTCCGGGCAANAATTGGAAGTCTCAAAGAAAAGCAAATCTTTTTGATTTTAATAATATCAATCAAATCCTGTCGTCTCCAATGAAGGTAAATATTATGTTCACATACTCTGTAATTAATCCTTTTAATTTTCTATCCTGACCATATACATATGAAACATTTTCGATTGAAAATGTAAAGTACATGATGAAGCTTTCTTCTAGCAACGCATATTCTATATTTTTATTTGTAAGAATATTCTATTTCTAGTAATGTCGTTTATCAACAGTATACATAACAGACACGAAAATATAAAGATAGAATTCGTACATTTATGCTTAACAGTGACTCATATATCCTACATGAATATATAATAGTTGTTTCTTATAACTGAACTTCTTTTTATTTATAACAAAACAACTTGGTATTTTCGTATAACATATCATTGATTGCTTATGAATGAGTTTGCATTAGTAATATATTTCATTTTTTCAAAGTTTGTTGAAAAAAATTCTGAAACTTGAATAAATCAGCAGAATGTTGAGTAATTCTAAAAATAATAATAATACAGATAGAACAGTATTCTACAACTTTGC